CCCGTGAGGGCGGTGAGCCCCTGGGGCAGGTTGCCCCGAGAAGCTGTGGCTGCCCCATCCCTGGAGGTGTTCAAGGCCAGGTTGGACGGGGCTTGGGGCAACCTGGGCTGGTGGGGGGTGGCCCTGCCCGAGGCACTGGGGGGGATTTAACGTCCCATCCAACAACAACCATCCTGTGATTCTATGCGCTCTGGCAACGTTTCCCTTTTCCGATAGGACTTGTTTCTTCTCTTGGCCTGGGGCAATGCGTGGCCATGTCCCCCTTCGCAGGGCTCCATCTCTCCTAACACCTGCTGTAATTTTGGAAGAGCTCTTGCCAAGAAAACCCCGAATTCTCCTCTGGTTCTGGTAGTGCTCGTCGGTCTGTTTAGGAGCGGGGCTTTTGGGGAGACTTTGCTGCCATTGCCTCTGTCCCCTCGGGTCTGAATCCGTGCTGAGGTCTTATTTGTACCCCTTACTTGTACCCTGAGGAGGGGTGGTGGGAGATGGCTGATGTCCCCATATCCCTCCTCTAGACAGCAAATTCCTTCTCTTTTTTTTGCTTTATATTGGAGTGATTTGAATAGAAACCCGCTCCCTGGGGCACCCCGGTCTGTGGCAGAGGGGATGGAAAAGACTTTAAGTGGCCTTTTCCCTCGGTAGGTGTCCGGGTCAGCCCTGGATGGGCTGTGTTGGCCTGGGGAGAGCCCCCTTTGGTGAGGGGGAGGTTGAGTCAGGGGTTGGGGGGGCTGCCAGGCCCCATGGGGGGGGCTCTATGGGGCCAGGGGAGCCCCATGGGGCTGGACCGAGGTGTGAGAGGGACTCGAGCCCTGGGCCCAGGCCCTGTCCCTGTCCCCATACCCCAGGCCAAGACCTGGGGGGCTGCCAGGCCCCATGGTGGGCTCTATGGGGCCAGGGGAGCCCTACGGGGCTGGGGTGGAGGTGCGAAGGGGACCATGGATGGACATGACCCTGGGGCTGGGCCCGGGCCCTGTCCGGGGGGGCAGCCAGGCCCTGTCCTGGGGGGCAGCCAGGCCCTGTGGTGGGGTCTATGGGGCTGGGGTGGAAGTGTGAGGGGTCCATGGATGGACATGAACCCTGGGGCTGGGCCCCGTCCTTGTCCTGGGGGGCAGCCAGGCCCTGTCCTTGTCCTGGGGGGCTGCCAGGCCCCGTGGCAGGGTCTATGGGGCCAGGGGAGCCCTATGGGGCTGGACTGAGGTGTGAGGAGGACCACGGAGGGACCCGAGCCCTGGGCCCGGGCCCTGTCCTGTACCCTGAGCCGAGACCTGGGGGGGCTGCTAGGCCCCAGGGGGGGCTCCATGCGTGCAGGGGAGCCCCATGGGGCTGGGGTGGAGGTGTGAAGGAGACCGTGGAGGGACACGAGCCCTGGGGCTGGGCCCTGTCCTGGATGGCAGCCAGGCGCCATAGTGGGGGTCCGTGGGGGGTCCTGTGGGGCTGGGCTGGAGGTGTCGGGGGGAACTATGGAAGGACATGGGCCTTGTCCTGAGGGGGCAGCACGTCCCCATGGGGGGATCTATGGGGCCAGGGGAGCCCTATGGGGCTGGGCTGGAGGGCTGAGGGGACGTAGGCCCAGACCCAGGCCCAGACCCGGGGACGTAGGCCCAGGCCCGGGCCTAGGCCCTGGAGGCGAGAGCT